CAATTTTTATTTTATTATATTTTTTATTATTATTTTTGTTGCATCAAAGTTGATTAAAAAAATTTTAATACAAAATCACTCAACTAATTTACTTAAGTATCACATAAAATCACTAGACTAATTTTTAGAGCAACTTTGACATATAACAAACACAAAAATCATATTTGTATGTTATAGTTATAGTTTGCATAATTGCGCTTCATAGCAAACATAAATATATATATTTCGCTATACATATACAAAAGAAAGCAGTTGTATATAATATGTTTTTGTTTCAGTATACATATACAAAAGATCAATTGTATAATCTGTGTTTGTATATAGCGAGAAAGAGAGAAAGGCAAAAGAGAACTGGGCAGGGGAATATTTGTATTGTATAATTATAAGTGTATAGGACGAAGATATGTGTATTTGCATGTGTATATACAATTATTTCTCGCTTTATACAAACAGAAACACAATTTATACATTTCTGTTTGTATAAGCGAGAGAGGCGAGCGAGATCTTGGAGAGTGGCGAGCAAGATCTGGTAGAGGGGAGAGAGGGAAACGAAAATATATGTATATATACAATTTTCTCTCGCTTTATACAAACACAAATACATTTTATACATTTGCGTTTGTATAAAAAGCAAAAGAGGTGAGGGAGAGAACGAGAGTGGCAAGCGAGATTCACCAGAAAAGAAGCGAAATAGCAACAGTTTGGTATAGGATACAATTAAATCAAACTATGTTTATATCATTTAATTTAAATTAATAATTTGCTATTATATATAATTTTCCCTAAATTTTATAACCAAAAAAGAATCATTCAACTTGGACTAAATATGACAACACGTCATTAAACAATCTTTATAAACCAAAAAGTAATTCCACTTGTTTACCCATCGTATAAAATATCCTTTATGTTTCCTCTAATGAATTATGTAATAATTAGAAAAAATTAAGTGGCAGTTAAAAAAAAGTTTAGTGATTTTTGTGATACTTGAATAAAATTGAGTTTTTTTTTTGTTAGAAAAGATAATTTAATGACATTAATCCAATGAATGAAAGTTGAGTGATTGTTTATGAAATCAACCCACAAGACGATTTCACACTGTGGGAATAATATTAATTGTATTAACATAAAATGAAAAGAATTGAAACTTTCTGTTTTTTGATTAGCAATGAAACAACCATGATCATTTTAGGTACTCAGTCAAGTATTGACTTTCAATATTTATTTTACAGTTGCACTTATCAAAATCTTTCTTAGCAAATTGTGGGGACAATTTGCATATAATTAAAGGATTAATGGCAATTTTTATCTACGTCTTCTATTAAATTAAAAGAGAGTAGATGTATACTAGAACTAATTAATCATACATAATAATCCTCAAGAAAGCTACATGTTGCATCGATTCAACTACGTTTTCACTATCACTTGATATCAATTTACCGATTCAAACTTCAATAATTTAATTGATTTACTTTATTTAATTAATTTCTCGAAAATATATATACTCAGCTAAAATAAAACTGAATTATTTGAGTTGTCTTTTGATGGATTTTTTTGCTTTATTAGGTAAAATGGAGGGAATTATAATAAAATTTTTTTGTATGTTTCAAGTACCGATTGAAACTAAAAAACGGAAATCATGGGACATTATAATTAGTTGGCCCCAACATAAGGGGAAAAAATAAAGCAGGTATAATTTTAAAAGGGAGAAAAAGAACAACTACTACTGGTAGATTCTCTATATATAAATTATTGATACTGTAAATTGTTTAATAAGTTGGTGAATCTTAATTATCAATTAGTTGGCAAACCATATTTTGGAATAGTGGCAATCACGAAGTACCCAATTTATACAAACTTTAACAAATGAAGAAACGGTCACGCGTAGTAATGAAAATTTGGAAGAGTTGTTCTATCTTTTGGTTTATATATTAGTTAGTTCCAATTTATTTATCTATCATAGCATTTATATTAAAATATCATGAAATATTTTAAGTTATGAATAATTTTATTTATCTCACTCCATATTAAACGACACCTAACGGATAGTAGTAAGAGAAAACTGCGTCTAGATTCATTATGATAAAAGTGCACTCCTTTAAATGGCAAGTTCGTACTCTAAACAAAAACAAGCTTTTATAGAATTGTTAACAACGTGCATGCATCTATCTAGGCTTAATGCATGCATCATCCTCTCTCACACATAAATAGTTGGCAAAAATACATAAACAGGGCGTCTCGACCATAAGGCCATTAAAGCAATCGCTTGGAGCCCTAATATTTTTGGAGCCTCCGTTTTCTTCCAAATATATATATATTGATATATTGTTAAAAAAAAATCTCATATATTATAAATTTGAAAAGAACTTTTTGGATAGAAAATATAATAATTTTTTTACCTCATTTAATATAGAGATCATTGTAATAATTGAGAAACGGAATAGCGTGTAGTTAATTATTGTATCATTTCTTATGTGCCTATCTATTTTGTTTCTTCATTTATATTCGAACTATTATCATAAACCAACATTATTATTCTTATATTTATTTATTTGTCCTCTTTCACTATTTATATTCTTTCGTTATTGAATATTCTAAAATCTCTCAAACGTTCAAACCTTTTACATTATGCAAAATATATTGTTGTGTGTTTATAAAAAGATCAAATTTGATTTTTGGTATCTTCTTCAATTTTCAAACACTAAAACTAATCAACACGATTTTAATATTACTATATCAACTTATCAAATTCAGCGCAACACTATTTCAACATAATTATATAAAAATTTATCAATGTTTTGAGTCGAGTTTTATTATTCTAAATTTATATTATATATTTTTCATTGAATATGTACATTATTTGCATTCTTACTTCATAAAATTCCTGTATATTCTACCTCTCCAGACCATATTTGTAAGATTACACTAAGTACGTTATAATTATTCAATTTATATATGTCAACTAAAAAAAATAAAGCCTCTCTGTGAAGTTTAGCTTTAGGCCCCCAAATTTGTTGAGACGGCTCTGTACATAAACATGACACTTAACTTGGTGTCAGCTGACAACTATATATGATCTTTAACTTTGGGTGTGCACAAATAGACACTTAAACTTGTATAAAATTGAACAAACAGACACATTCATCCTACATGGCAATGTTGTGTCCTACGTGGAGTCCTATGTGTATTATGTCATGTAGGACATGTGTGTCTACTTGTGCACACTCAAAGTTAGAGGGCATAATTATTTGCTAAAGGCAAGTTAAGGGTCATGTTTATGTATTATGCCTAAATAATTCCCTTCAACTATTTTTCTTTTCTCTATCTAGCTAGCTATATGATAATTGATGAAAAATATTGGAGCCTCGAATATTTTCTTTTAAAACAAGGAAAATATATTCGATGGACATTGAGCTATTGCATAGGAGGGGGGTTTTACTCTGTGCGCACCCAAAGAGTAGCAGCTGTGGGTTTTCCTTGTAATAAAAAAAAATATTCGATGGACATTGATGTAACATTTGGTTACACAAATTGCAATAATTGTACGTGATCTAGAGATGCCATTTCTCCCGATGAATTTCAATTGCGTATTGCTTAATATGGAAGGCATTGCGAAAATAAAGTTAAATATTAATTACTACTTTTGTTTCAATTGATATGACAAGTTTTTCTTTTTAACTCGTTCCAAAAAGAAATGGAGAGAGTAATACTAATACATAGACACCCTGATATATCATATAAGATTCCTTTCTCGAGGCAAAAGCAAACAAAAAAGAATAGGTGAAAAGTTTGATAAATGCATTTTCAGTTTAGTGAAAGGATATCACAATTTTTCAACTTTAATTTGCTGGCAGCCGGCAGGTATTTGTAGGTACAAAAATGGTCCATTCTGAAAGAATAAATTAAACAAAAAGCAGATTCATATTAAGCTAAGCAACAAAGAAGGAAAGAGATTGAGAAAGCGAGATGAAGTGTAAATTACTTTTCACATCTCTAAACACAAAATCTTCTTTGGACTCTGCGAAAAGTAAAAAAAAAAAAAACAATTTTCATCTGAAAGAACTTATTGCTTGAAATTATAGTTTGCTTATGAAAATTGTGTCGAATATATTTAGCAAATGCTTATCGTACTTCGTTATGGAGAGAATTAGTACAATTTCGACATCATTCTGCTTCTGATATTTCCAAGAAGCATCACAAGCAATGGCATATTTGAAAGGATATCTTTTGAACACAGGGTAAATAAAAACAAATTAAATTCTGCCATGAAAAATGAAGAAGAAAAAAAACAGATTTATACTTGAAAAATTATGAACCCTTGGTTTCTAGCAGAATATATTTGTAATCCTCGAACATTGTCTACCAATTCTCAATCAAAGTTCAGCTGTATTTTCATTTTTTCTTCTTTTTTCATGATCACATTCTTACAAGAAGTAGGACCACATGCACAAGAATGTCCAACATTATTAATTGGGAAGAATCAATGAATATATAGACTGTTGTCTTGTTATATTGTTTTTGGGTGATCCTCAGCTCATGGCCTTATGTTTGAGGTTGATTTTTTTTTTTTATGGTATTAAAGTCACCTTTTTCTTGATTTACTCAATGTTGGGACCTGGGTCCCCGTCATATATATTATTATGTTGTTTACGCTCCAAATTATTTGATGTTGATTGTCCTGTATTAGTTGAGGGAATAAGCTGTAATCTCCTTAAATCTATTTACCAATCTGATCCCTAAGCAAAAAAAAAAACTCAAAGCTTTATAGAGATAGAAATAAAAGCAACACCACAAGCATCAACAGTTTGGTCTAATAATTTTTAGATTGAGAAATTGAATAGTAGTAACATATAGGAAGAGGTCAAGTGACAAGATATGCTTTCTTGACCTATATCATTTTGTCGAATCAATAAACTTCAAAAAATAACAAATATATTCTTTGAAGAATCAAAAGCAAACATGTCATGAATTCATTCCTAAACAGCACCAACCAAGATCAAAGATCAAAGATCAAGATCGTATGGGATACTTTTTGGGATCCATTTATCACCTTGCAAAAAATTGCGAACAGTAAACTTAGACGCCTCTGTTTTATCAATAACTTTGGACCATTGTACTCTCTTGCTAGTATCAGAGCCTGGTCCCCTATTATTATACTCAGCCAAATATATCTGCGTCACTTGTGGATTTTCACTCCACCCTCTTGGGTCAATGAAATCACTAATATAACTAGACATAATTACTGCCTTCCCTCCATTTTTCCAAGGCCAACCTAAGAAACTTTCCACTTGTGTCTTGTTAAAATTTCTTGTAGTTGATATGTTACAATTCTGAAGTATTAACCCCGGATTCGAAGTAATGCTATCGGCCCCTGGAGCAAGTATTCTCACTCCTTGTCCATGATTTGGCGGTCTTGCTTTAAGACGACTATTTTGAAAAATAGCACGTCCGCTACCAGTGATAAAATCGATTGTACCAAAAATTAAACATTCTCTGAAAAATGAAGTATCTGAGGAAAAAATTGTATCCTGGCAACCCAAAAAACTACATTTATAAAATGAAGCAAACCCTTTAAAAGGAGCAATTGTTAATGCAGCTGCTTGACCACCTGCTGCTCCAGCAGTATTTCTGATTGACAACGAAATTCCAATAAAACCACTGCCGTATACTTCTGTTCAGTCAAAAATTATTTTATAACGTTGTTAGACGCTCGTAACATCTATAAGTTAAAAATACGATTAATAGATTTACCTAATGTGGCGGTATTAGGCGTTGGATATCCTTTACTGCTTTTACTTGCTGTAATTACTGTGGCGTCCATACCATCACCAACAAGGGCTATATTTGGTTTGTCATTCGGAATAGTGATGTTTTCATTGTATTGTCCTTTTTTGACATGTATAAAGTATGTTTTTGAACTCATTTTTGGTGCTGCATTTAACGCTTCAGTGATTGTTTTGTAATCGCCTGAACCATCTTGTGCAACTGTTGAATCGAACGTCATACAATTCACTACACTCCACCAGAGCATCACAATTACTGTCAAAATTACTTTGTCTTTCCCTTCCATCGCCATTTTTTTCCTACATTAACAAAAAATAATAATATTAACATCCAAAAATTTAAATAAATACAAACTAGATAATTGAATGCTAGTAATTTAGAATGTGTTTGGGTTCATTGAAAAAAAATTCAAAAAAAACAAGTAATTTTCTAGCGATAAAGCATTATCATAAATATTTTCTACTAAAAAATGTTTTTCCTTAGTACCGAACACATCCTTAGTGTAGAATTGCTATAGTCCATCCTAAAGTGCCAAATTTGATTCTCAAATGGTTTTTTTGTTTCTCCTTTCCTTTACCTGGGCTTCACCCACGATAGTTGACGTAGTCTAAAACTTAATAAAATCTCAATAAATATTAGATCTAAATTCATAATAGAGACGAAAATCTCAATAGTTGAATCTATTAAATTTAAATTATAGATCTGTCTCTATAATTCTCCAGCCCTAAAAAAATTGAAACACGCATTAAAGTAGATAACTGATTTAGTAGAGAAAAATTCACAAAAAATGCTAAAGTACTAATATATCTGAACTAATACTATAGGAATTGCAGGGATAGAGTTCTGAAATAATTAGCATTAGCTTACCACGAAATTAACAAACTTTGATGGATGCTTATGTGAGTGTATATTCAAAAGACAAAAATAATTAATTGATGATTAATACATTGTGAATTTACAACTATAAATGTGATTATGAAAAATTGATGAAACATTTGTAGGTGAAATATGAAATTGCATAGGCCCTTCATCTTCATTATATAGGGGCACAAATGATAAAAGTCAAATTAATTCATTAAATATGGAATAATTATTTTTATTTTTAGATGTAACGGTTTAGATGCATATTACATGTTACTATAAAGTCAAACTTGCGAAAGATTTAGTTTTTAAATTTTGACTGGTAATTTCAAAGTGGAATATTTAACATTAATTACCTAAGTAGGTGAATTTATATCTTCGAGTTTTAAGTAGCAACTTACAATTAATGGCACATATTATACATCTTTGACAATGAATTTGGAAATCGTCTTAAGTTTTAGGAATAAAATTATATATTTAAAAACCACATAAGAAACTATTATAAGTCGTAATATTAACAATTCAAATTATTTTAAAATAAATTAAAAAATTACGATAAAAAATAAAGTTATTTAAATCATAAAATCTGAAAACTCACATTAATTGAGACAAGTATAGATTTAACCAAAATTCGGAATAGTAGAAAGACCGAGGGATAGCGTTGGCGGTAGAATAGAAGGCTTCTTTCTTATTTTTTTTCTTTAGGGGGGGGGGGGGGCTTGGGGGGGGGGGGGGGGGGGGGGGGCGGGGGGGGGGGGGGGGGG